TGGGCGTAGCCACGCCCACTTATGGATACATGTGTATATCTTGGTAACCGCTGCACCAATTTCTTCCAAACTTGGCACAGTTGTCAGTCTTGCTACAGCATACCAAATGGCCGAAAATTTTTAAAATCGGACAATAACCACGCCTACCACCCATATAACGGTAATTTGGAGAAATGCGAAATCTTCGATAAATCAATAAATATTAAAGCTAATTTATTCAAAAATAATTCTTGCAACAATTCTCTGCCAAGAAATACGTTTATGATAAAATTTTGGAAAATATATATATTTATATAAATATAATATATTTTGAAATTTAAGGACGCTAATTTACTCAGAATTGATACACACCGGCTTACCATGTAGCGGTAGCTTTCGGAAAGGTGAAAATCATATATTTAATACTTGCGCCGGGTATTTAATGTTCGGCTCCGCCCGAACTTAGACTTTCTTACTTGTTTATTTAATAATTAATATTTTTTTTAAAAATGTCTAGCTCATTGTATATATAACACCGCGCGATAGTAAATTTTAAACACAAATATATGTATTCGCGAAACCATGGGCCAAATATAGTGAAACTGCGCTTTTAGTTTTTCACTCTGACGTCAGTAATTCAAAAATGATTTTAAAAATTCACAGAAATGTGCTTAGAGAAGAAGTATTGTTATAAAATTAATGAGGAAATCCTGTAGAATTTAAACATATTCAAGTTTCTAGTGCAGAAGGGCTGGTAAATATTGAAAATGTCATTTTAAAATTTTATCCTTGAAATTTCGCAATAATTGTTAGAATTTCGTTCTTCTAACTTTGTCAGCTTAAAAATTACCTATTCGTCCTGGTGAATCCAAAAAATTTTATATTTTTTAAATTCTAAAGGATTTTCCTATTGCATTTGTTACCTATATTTTTATTCTACATTGCATTGCATTTTTGAATAATTTTCGGAATTAATCATATCTTTGAAATTACAAAGTCCTTCAAAATAAATCCTGCGGTCAGAGAGAAAAAATAAAAACGCCACTTTAAATGAAATGTAGGTTTCAAACCATGGTACAATTATTACAGGTATTGTCTTCCTAGAGAGTTTTGCTTCACATCGAAATTCGTGCTCCTTTATTTTAATTTTGACGCAGTTCAATGTTGATTCTTTTATTTTTATTTGGCTTTGCTTTTTGTTTTCGCTCAATTTAATTTTTGTAATTTTTCAAAACAAAAGAAAAAACGTTTGAAGTTAAGTGAGCCATAAAAATTTTGAATTTATTTACAAGCAAATGTTTTTTCCGGCTTTTGCAAATTGAATAAGTTCTCTGTAAGATGGTTTGTTGAAAAAAATACGTGAACATATATGGTATATGGGGTATGGAAACAGGGATATTTCCAGAAGTAAACGTGTTAGTGTGGGCAACAATGATATTTTTAAATAAGCCAGATCGGAATATGCGCTCTCTGGGAAGACAATACCTGCAATTATTGTACCATGGTTTCAAACCCATTTATTTATTATTTATTTCATGGTAGGAGAGCTTCTCAAACAATAAAGAAGCCATTTTTTCGATTCATGTTGTTGAAAAGTAATGAATATCTAAATCCCGGGACTAATCCCGGGATTCCGGAGGGACAAAAAACCTTCTAACTTTTTTTTGTTGTTAATATTTTCCTAATCTGTAAATGCAGTTTTCTTCATTAGTTCATCTTGTTTCAGTACCAATAATCGGCCAATTTCAAAATAAAGCTGTTGCAGACTTAAAGGCTCTTTGGGACTTACCACATTTTCTCTTTACGATTTTGTTCTTTTAATGTGGACTTTTATATCAATCTATTTTTTTTATTGTTAAAAGATTTAGTCATTTATTTTAAATATATTTTATTGGCCCTATTATGAGTTGCATTCGATTTTCGACTGTGGTCGAAAGCGCTGAGCGAACGAATTTTCATTTGGTATTATGGCGCTCATTCGATGAAGAATAGCGCTATTGTGAATTTCGCTCGTTTAGGCTGTTCACAATAGTATATTTTTCACCGCTGAGAAGCTTTGTTTACAAATCGAGCAAACTAAATAGTGTGCTTATACATATTTATGTAAATTTGTTCTAATTAAAATGAAGTAAAAAAGAAAGCAAGTTTATAAAAACGTGGTAAAATGAGTACAACGAGTTCTGGTTCAACGATTCGTCAGAGGATGAGAGCTTAGTAAACTGGCCAGGAGTAGCAAATGTTTAAGAGAGTTTAAGTTTATTAGTCTTTCGAATATATTTTGATATAAAATATATTTAAGAAATTTGTCTACAGATTCATTAAAAAGTTCCGACCATCTAAAGAGGCGTTTGTGAGCCAAATCTATTTAAAATATTTTAAAACTCAACAGCGCTACGATTTTGTTCTCAGAGGTCGTGCCAACAGAGTGTTGGGATTTTCTTTCCCAAGTAAAACCAGCCTTTCGAGCTTGTGTTTAGTATTCACGATGTTAGAACTGCATGAAATTAATAAAAATTGTTTAAAATTAGTGTCTAGCCAAAATGTAAGAAAACATATACAAAATCATATTTTTCACAATTTTCTAACACTTCGCTACACCATCGAAAGCAAAATTCTGTTCGACAGAAAATTCGATACTCAACGAAAATTTCGACACGCTTGCATAGCTCATAATACCAATTTCACTTTCGATCTTCGATAGCCAGCGAAGATCGAAAATCGAATGCAGCTCATAATAAGGGTCATTGTTTTAAAATTAATAATAACCTAATACAGTCTTAAGTCATAAATTTATGTACCATTTATAAAGGAAAATAATTAAAAACAATTAAATTAGTATAAGTTTGGGCCAAACCGAACTTTATTTACCCTGCACAAGTATTAAATATTGTCGTCTCAACTTTCTCTAAACTACCTTTGCATGATAAGCAGGGATGTTTTTCTCGATTTCAAACATTATCGATAATATGCTGAGTTAGAATCAATGATTTAATTGAAACAAGTTCGGTAGAAATCCATAAAAGGTTACCGATATACACCTTTAAAGTGATAAAGTGGGCGGTGCCACGCCCAATTCCTAAAAGTCTATAGCAGTCTTATTTATAGTAAGTTAAGTATTAACTTGGAGTAAATTAGCGTCCCCAGTTATTGAAACAGCAGAGTTTCCGTATTTCTGAAATTCACAGTTAGATATACGAGAAGCGGGCGTAATTTTGGCCCGATTTGTATAATTTTCAAAGAATTGCTTTTCCGTACCAAGGTTATTAAGTGCACCGAGTTTGGTAGAAACTGATAAATCAGCTACCGAGTTACACATTTGTGATCATAAGTGGGCGACGCCGCGCCCATTATCCAAAAATTTATAATAATCCAATTTTCCGCTAAGTGGTTATCGCATTACTGATTGGCCATCGATATGATAAGCGACAAAGATGAGAAACTGAACGGCTGAGTCCGTTCGCTAAGAGGTTAAATGCACAGGAACGGAAGTAGTAAACGACATTCGGAAAATCGCGTGAAATGGTCAGCAGCAAAACTAAGAATTTTTTAACCTGCGGCGAAGGTTGTTGAATATTACTTAAATAAAAGATTTTAAATCGACTTCTTAGTTGTTTTACTCATTATTTTAGGATTTTTATATTTTTCGCTTTAAAATAATAATTATTATTGAGTTTTATTTTATCGCTCAACGGAAATAATCATTATTTGATTTTTATTTTTTCGATCACAAATAACGATTATTTTATGATTTTTATTTTTTCGCTCGGAGAAAATCATTATTTTTGAGTTTTATTTTTTCACTTAAAAATATTGACTATTTATAAAGTTAAAAAGGCCATGTAGACGCGACTTACTAAAATTTTGACCTTAAAAGTTTGGGACTTCTTCCTTTTATTAGGGTGTCGGTACCACTGAAAAGGATATGTCCAATATCATGCTGGTATAGCTTTTGAGTTGTTTGAAAGAGCATTAGCTTAAACATAAAACTCAATAATAATTATTATCTTTGAGCAAAAAATGAAAAATCGAGTAATCATAATTTCCTTTGAGCGAAAAAATAAAACTGAAATATTAATTATTTTTTTTATCTTTATTGATTAAAATCGAAAAATAACAAGTAAGAAAGTCTAAGTTTGGGCGGAGCCGAACATTAAATACCCGGCGCAAGTATTAAATATATGTTTTCCACCTTTCCGAAAACTACCACTATATTGTAAGCCGGGGTGCTTTTACCCCTATTTTAAACATCTTCGATAGAACGTTCAGTTAGACATAATGAGATAAACTTATATAGTCATATGTGGGCAAACAATGTTACTTCTTTTCAAGGGATTGTTTTTAGTATCAATTTT